GGAGCAGTGCATGCTGCACTGAATGGGGGCTGGGGGGCCAGGACCCTGCTGCCAGCCCACAGCCCCTCCCCGGAGGCCCAGCACACGGGGGGCCCGGCCCGGTTGGTACCTGAAGCTCCGGGCGCAGTCGGCCTCGCGCCGGTAGTCACACTCCCACTCCAGCTCTCTCTGCAGCACCTGCAGCGTGTTGTCTGCGAAGAGGCCTGGGGAGGGCACAGGGGGGTGAGGCTGCGGGGGGGGGGTAAAATCTCCCCTGCAACCCCCGAGAGAAGGGGGCCCCAGAAGAGCGAGCCACGCCCAGGGGAGGGGGCAGGCGAGACGCTGGGTAACACAGCCCCCCTCTCCCCCCCAGGCACGGCGCAGGCCCTTACCCGCCGGGAGCACCGCGCTGACCCTCAGCAGCGCCAGCAGGTTCTCCACGTCACTCCGGATACTCTGGGCTATGCCCGGATACTGCGGGAGGGAGAGAGAGGCGCTGGCTCGGAGAACTGAGGGGGGAGCGCCAGGCACCCCCCAGCTCGGATCCCTTCCTAACCCCCGCCCGCGAGAACAGCCAGGGCCACTGCCCCACTCAGGAGAAACTGAGGTACCCAGAAGGGAAAGGAGCTGATTAAGGTCACAAAGCAAGGCAGTAACAGAACTAGGAATAGAACCCAGGAGTCCTGGCTCCTGGCCTCCCCTGCTCTAACCACTACACCCCACTCCCCTCCCAGAGCCAGGGACAGAACCCAGGAGTCCTGGCTCCCAGCCCCCCTGCTCTAACCACTAGACCCCACTCCCCTCCCAGAGCCAGGGACAGAACCCAGGAATCCTGGCTCCCAGCACCCTGTTCTAACCCCTCCCTCATGCTCCCTCTGTAATTGGCCCCAGCTACCCTGAAGCTGCCACCCATGGGTGCTGGGGGGCAAGTGCCGCTCACCTGGATCTTCATGGCCACCTCCGTCCCGTCGCGGAGCACCCCGAGGTGCACCTGGCCAATGGATGCCGCTGCGAAGGGCATCTCCTCGAAGGAGGCCACCTTCTCCCGCCAGTCCTGCCCCAGTTCCTCTGCCAGCACTCTCTGAAACGCCAGGGCGGGGGAAAGACACGCTCAGCCAGTGCCCTGCCCTGGGGACACGCCGGCTCCACAGGCCTGGGGGCTCTCAGTGCCATCGCCAGCAGGACACCTCAGGGCTCTCCCTGACCCCCCCGGGATACACGCTGTAGGGCGGCTGTCACTCACCCTGGTCTGCCAGGCTGGCATGAAGTCCGCGCTCTGCCGCACCCGCGCGAAGATCCGCTGCAGCTGCGGGTTGAGGAAGCTGTTATCTGTGGGGAGAGGCGGACTGATCAGCGGGGTGCTCCTGGGCTCGGACGCGCCCCCCCACCTGCCAGACTCAGCCCCCGGGAGAGGCAGCCCAGCTCGTGACATTCGTGTGCCCGGCGTGCGGGGCTCTCTGTGCATACCCGGCCCCTCCAGGGACGGGCCCTTCCCCAAGGCTGAGGGCCAGGGCTGAGGGGGTGTCGGTGGGGGCCGGGCACTTACCTTGGATACTCAGCATCTGCCCGATCTTGAGGGCGGCGCCCCGCACCTTGCACAGCGTGTCCACGATCCGCGCCGCGTTGGCCTCCGACAGGAAGGGGCTGGAGCCCAGGATGGAGCCGCTGCCATCTGCGCAAAGGGGGCAGGAAGTGAGGGGGGGGATGTCCTAGGGCTAGTTCCTTGGGGGGCTGACACCCACATCTCAACAGCCCCCATGGGAGACCAATGGGCCAGCAACCCAGCCCCCTCCACCCCCCTCTGACCCCTGCCCCAGCGGCGTACGGGCCATGGGGATCCAGTCTCCAGGGCTGCCCCTTTGACAGCCAGGTAGGAGCCAGCCCCCCACTTACCCCTTGGCTTCGTCTTCCCATTGAACGAGTTCTTGGCCACCTCTGCCAGGGCCCCGATGCCCAGCCCCACCGCCAGACCTGGGGAGAGAGGCACAGGTCAGAGGGCTGCTGCTCGGGGGGCTGGACAGAGTGGGCGAGGCCAGGGATCCCGCACAGGGCGAGCCATCGGCCAGGCCGAGACGTGGGGCACGCTAGCCCCTTGCTGGCTACTCAAGTGATACACCATGCACAGACAGAGCAGGGCCAGCAGGGGGCCGTAGGGAAGCAGACAGACAGACACCCCCCCACTCTCCCCAGAGCAGGGACACGGACACCCCCCGTCTCAGCCCTGGGCTCTTGCGGACTCTACCTCCGAAGCTGGCGAGCCGACCCACGCGCGACGCAGGCACCGTCCGCTCCCGGGCTCTCTCGCTGAGCTGGTGGGAAGAGAAGAGGGGCAGGGCTGGGGGGGCATCGTGTCCAGTGGGGGAGAGTGCAGGTCTGTGACGTGGGGGCTCTGTTCCCAGCTCCACCACTGCCCCTGCCCAGTGACCCTGGGGACGTCCCTGCCCCGCCTCGTGCCTCAGTTTCCCCTCTCCCCCCACGCCGTGTCGATCTGCGCACTCCTTGGGGCAAGGACTGGTTCTCGCTGTGTCTGGGGGGGGGGGCCTCATCTTGGGGAGGGTCTACACGGGCTACCGTAATGCACCTAATAACAGGCTTCGAGATCTGCAGTCAGAGCTCTGTACACAGCAAATATTTAGAAACAATGCCCAGGATTTTAGTACGTGCTGAGGCCCCTTTAAGGTGTCCCAAGCACACACCACCCCCCCAGCCCCTTTCGGCTGTCCTGCACCAAGAGTCTAATTAAAAGACACCCCACCCCTCCCGACAGCACTCCCTCCCTGTGCCTGCGTCCCCCAGGCATCTCCCACTGACCCCTCCTCACCTTCTGCCTAGGTGCCCGAGCTGGCTCCTCCGGGCCCATCTTCCGCCTGGCCTCCCGGGCTCTGCGGATGTCGTCGGCCACGAGGGCTCCCAGCGCCGCGTCTCGGTGGAAGAGCCGGCCGGGGCCGAGACCAGGGCACCCGGAGCCCCTGGTGCCGGTGTGTGCTGCGGGCAGGGGGGGAGGGGCCGACTGGCCAGAAGCCCTCGCAGCTGTGGGGGGGACTCCTAACAGAGACATGTCTGGGGGCTGCTTGGGGGCCCCGTTTGGACCTGATGTGCCACCTCTCTCTCTTGGGACGAGCTCCTGGGGCCCCCGGACTCCTGCCTGGAACAGGAGAATCAAGGAATGTGTCTGCGTGTCTGTGCACGAGCGTGCGTCTGTGCACAAGTGTGTGCAAGTGTGCGTTCGTGCGAGTGTGAGAGGAGCTTGCCCTGAATTCCCTTCACACGACCCCATGGCACCCGGCAGGTCATGGGCACTGTCTGGACCAACCCACCCACCCTTTCCCTTGCGGAAACCCGGAGGGTGACGGGAAAGAGCCAGTGTCCCACCGCACCCTCTGTGAGGGCGTCCGGGGTGGAAACACTGGTGGACTGTCACCCCCCAGGGCGAGGAGGAGGACCGGCTACTGGGCCAGCCCTCACAGGGTCTGGACGGGTATAAGGAGATACAGCACCAAGCGCGGGACCGGAGAGCCAGAGACGTACGAATAGAGAGAGACACGGATGGATGGATGGGA